GGAGTGACCTGTCATCTCAGCATGCTCCTTGTCAAGACAGAAGTAGTTATATTTTAATGATGTTAAAAATAACATTAAGCCAAACGGTAATTTTTTTACACTGACATGCCCCTCCTCTTTATAGATTCCCTAATGGAGGACAGTGAGCTGTAGGGGCAGTGGTGGAGCCTGTTCAGTTGGAGGAGTGTGATATTTTGTGAGGACTGAATCTTACTGCTTGAAACCCATGTCTCTCACGGCAGGGCAGGCTGGTTGCCTAGACATCCTTTTGCTTTGACACTGACTGAATGCACCCACTCAGTTCCATCACTAAAGACCGGAGGACACTAGCTGCTCTGCACTCACAAGACTCATGCGGCATCCAACCCTGCTGTTGGGGCTCACCTTTCCACACAGTGCTGAGGGGCTCACCCATCATGAGGAATCTTCCTGAGCTTCACCTGCCTTGTGGCTGGCTGGTCACATGACACCTTTGAAAATGACAGTCTTTGAGTATGCTTCCCCTGATCTAAGGGAACAGTTCAATGCCAGAAAAGGCAGAAAAATAAGGCCTGTGACCCTTTAGTACTTCCATGGTCCCAAGAACACCAGGAAAACTTTTTATACCGAAAAACAAAGAAATGGTGTAGGTGGAGCAGAGTCACAACAAACATTAATATTTTATAAGCCATTTATTCTGATGAATGGTTTATTTTTGAGGTTATGATATGGACCCATGTATCAGAATCTGTGAATAATTTGCATGAGAGTCTATATTCCCCATCTTCTCTCACTTTGATTCTTTCAATGTTATACACAACTCATCATATCTCTTGAGGTTAGCCTTCTTTAGGATGAAGCTACTTCAAAATGAGCAGGGTCCTTACACCTCAGGGTAATCTGGCAGACACTTAGAGCGGGCGATTTAATGGACTATAACAGATCAAATGGAAATATTTCATTCCTTACCTCTTTCTAAGTCTTTGGAGCTTGGTTACATTGGTCCCCAGGTTGGTCATGCGTGCATGCGTGTGTGTGTGTGTGTGTGTGTGTGTGTGTGTGTGTGTGTGTGTGTGTGTGTATGTGCGTGCGCTCGTGCGTGCATGTGATTCACACATTGGAAATACAGTGCCATCAAAGTCCTCCTGATTTCCATACCCCACACAGGTGTCCCACTCTCTGCCCTGCTTCTCAGAAGTGTCAGAGTGCTCTGCTGTGCCCAGTGCCTTTGGTATAGCAAAAACAAGACAGGTGTTGCTCAAAGATCAGGGTAATAAAGGACAAAAGGAAATTAAGGGACAAAATTCCATAACTATTAGCCACAGGCTTTGTGAGCAGATTATAATGCGACTTAACATCTTTTATAAGGCTCTTTCAGTGCTCCATTTACAGGTTGGCATGCTTGTATTCTGGAGACACTGACACAGAGAGATGTTGTGCATTCCCAAACTCACACGCTGCACCAAAGGCAGAGCGGCAATGTCGCATCCCATAAAGCTGTGTTTAAACAAGGTTTGTTTTGAGAAGCAAGCTTGTGAGTACAACCGAGCTGCTGGGATCAGCATCACTCCCCATCTCTCGCATTCAGGATGCAG